AAAAAAAAAAAGCCTTCATGTTACACTCCTCCCTTCCTTAGACATTGTTTCCGCCCAAACCGCCCCTTATTCCCGCTGTCCCAGCCCTCCCATCATGTTGTTGCCACCCAGAACAGCCAGAGAACACCTCCTTCATGCTGTCCCACCACTATTGACCCCAAACCCTCGCTGCCATCACCCAAGACAGCCACCATACTTGTTGTTCCTGCATTTTTGCACCTTCCGCTCGCCACCACCCGCATTCCTTCATTGCCTCCACCACTGTCAGCTCCTTATTTGCTGTCTCAGCCCTCCCACCAGGTTGAGGAACACCTCCTTCATGCTGTCCCACCGCTATTGACCCCAACCCCTCGCTGCCATCATCCAAGACAGCCACCTTGTTATTCCTGCATTTTGCACCTCCGCCTCGCTGCCACCCGCATTCCTTTGTTGCCGCCACCACTGCCAGCCATTCCGATCCACTTGGCCAACCTCTAGTACCTTTGGGATACTCTTTAGTGGTGTTTGCTTGTGGCGTGTTATTGTATTTCTCCTTTCAAATGTGTTGGTTGTAATCATTTATTTGTTTTTTTCTGGTGTGGTTTGGGTTAACTCTGGTATCATATTTCTTTTTTTCTCACTAGAGAGATGTCATGAATTTTGTTTATTAACTATATCTGAATCTTTGATGCAACAAATTCAGTTTTCTTATGTATTATGTGTTGATGAATAGTGTAAAACACGCCAGCAATGCTCGTATTCCTTGTTTCAGTGATCATGTAAGTTCAGTTATTTTTTTCTTTGTCGATGAATAATCTTCTTCAGTGATGAGATGTTATTACTTAGAATTTTAAATAAATATAATTAATTTTCAGCATTGATTAACCGTTCTACTTGATTCAGCAGAAGCATATTCTGAAATATTCGACTATTTGAAAGAATGTTTACATTCCTTTCCAAAACTTTCTGTTTTAGCGATTATCCATGATGCACAGACATTTTAGAATATTAATGCAAACAATATCCAACACATGCAAGAATTATATGGAGTCATATCTCATATCCGTGTGCTATCATATTTTGTCCTTATGTCTATATCAATACATCATAGGTGATCATGCATATTTCTTTCTTAGTATGTTGAATTGATTCTGTGTCGGTATTGTTTTGCAATCAAAATTGGAAAATAAAATTTCTAATTCTTCCACCATGCATTTATGGTCAGTTTAGTTGGTATTCTAGGTTGAGGAACACTATAACCTGTCAGTATTGCTTATTATACACTACTGAATGCAAATTTCTAACTCTTTTATCGCACATGCCTGATCAATTTAGCTATTATTCTGGGTTGACCAAAAATTTAACCAGTCAATATTGCTTACATTTCATCATAATAGGATCAAAATCTCTTAGTTTTCCGTTATATGCATCTGATCAATCTAGTTAATATTTTTGGGTCGATGCATGCTACCAGTCCATATTGCTTGGTATTTTTGGTTTATGAACTATCAATTATCAGTATTGCTTATTATTCTAGAAATGACGCACGAATGCAGATCATAACAGTGAATTTTAGGCACGTTAACCTAACACATTAATACCAACTAAAGAAAGATGAAACAGATTTTACTTTGACTTAGCAAACCAAAATACTTCATAAGCTTCATAGAAAATTTTCAACGTTATACTCCTGGAAAGCTAACTGGATGCAACTAGTAACAGCTCAAAATGTTAAAAATAGTACAAATAAATTCAACGGAGCATCCAGCAGAAGACTCACAGTTATGGAACACATTAAATGCAAACAACAGTGTCGTTTCCTTTTAAAGAGTGAGATTACCGTGAGTCTACTACAAAGTTAAAAGCATAGCAGTAACAATTAATTTGAATGTAGGCTAACGTCCACCATGAAAAAAATTAAGCAACAAAGCTAACAGATATTCAGCCGGAATCCATATTGATATTAAGCTCTGATGATACAAATCTGAAATTTCTCTCTTCACAATTTTGGTAAAAAGTTTATAATTACCCTAATGGATTTAGCCTACCAAGGAGAAGCTTTTCAACGAGCCAGTTAGAATAAATACCAATCATCCTATCGCGTTTTATTGGGAGATTTAGAAAACCATAAAAATCTTTATCAATGTGATTTTAGCGATCGACTCTACAGCGACTTCTAAGGCCAGGAGCAGGAGATTAGTTAACTGAGAGGAAAAGCTTCAAGGTATCTTCTATTAGGTATGAATATCTAATAACAACTCACCCTTCCTTGATTATTGATTATTTTTAACCATACTTTCTTGTGAAATTTGTTGACTTAAACCAATAGAGGAAATGGAGAATCTGGCAGACATCCATTCCCATCACTCACACGATCACAAACAGAGGGAAAGACGGGAAGGTGGTAATGTAAGAGAAAGTTCATAATTTTTTTATGGATTCTCCACAAACCACAGAATCTGTACGTTTTTCACCCCTAGTTTTTATATTTATACAACACTTTCGAAATGCATTTCTTCTAGAAATTCAACATAATTCTGCACGCAAACGATTTAGATGCCTAGGATGCATATTATTTGATAACTACTCCTTATTCTTCTTTTGAATTATTCTAATTTCATATTATACTATTGACTGAGGGAATGGATGCATACATCTTTGTAGAATTTTAAAGATGCATTAGTGATGGTTTGTGGTTTGTCTGCAACGGTGAAATGGGTTAGTTCAATGCGTTGTGTTTGAGGTGCTGCTGCATAAAGTGTGTTCAATAATAATAGTGAATTCTCTGAAGGATTAGCAAAGCATCAGACTTGGAAGTTAAAATCCACAAAAACCGATGCGAGTAGATGTGTATTTATTGTGGGGGTTGGAACTTCCATTCAGAGGAAAATGAAATTGGGGAACACGATTAATGGGGAGCATGAAGTGACCAGCTTGTCAATGACTTCATTTTTATCACAAGATAATATCTTAAAAGACCAGATTATATATCATGGTTGAGTGGCAGCATAAAATATGCAATTGTAGCGTCTATGTCGTTATGAAATTATGAGTAAGAGGTGTAGAAAGTTTGACTAAGTTAGATTATATGTATTAAGATTAAATTCATATTTTAGGAAACGATTGGTGCCTCGAAAAAGTATTAAATGATAATTACAAAATTTATTAAATAGAAAACTTCAAAAGAATTCAGAAAAGAGTAGAACTAAATCATGAGAAATAATGTAAGTTGGTACAAGGGTCAAGTTGCGTTAGCTTTGAGAAAATGCAAACATAAAGCTTTAGATCCAAATAAGATGCCCATTGACATTTAGTGAACCATAGAAGATCCTAAGTATACTTGGAATTGTTTTCATTTTTTTTAAATTCATAATTAAGAGGAGGTCCAAGTGAAGCGTAATGAATTTCAATAACAATATTAAGCCAAAAATAGAATGTTTACTATTACGATAAACATTGAAAGAATAATATATGAAAAAAAAAACATATTTAAGGTAGAAAGTGAAAACTAATAAAAGAAAAATTAAAGAAAGATCGCATAGACAAGGAAAAATCATGTTAGGACCTAAGAAAGAAAATCAATTTATTTAATGGTAGCAAGATCTACAATGGAGCAATTTATGCAAATAGAGTTAATGTAGAAACATGAAGATTACTAAAAGGATCTTCAAATAGCTTTAACTAATTTAAAAAGAGAGGTATTAAATGAAATGATCGTGTTGGCATAAATAAAAAAGAATACGGAGATATGTAGGAAGAAATATAACTTTTAGATGGTAATAAAAATGCAGAAATATATCAATGTAATATATGATAAGAGAATATCTTAGGAGATTAAATAACATTATAATTAAATTTGCCATGCTACATGTTGGCAACAAAGAACATTTTTATAACTAAGTGTGGCAAAAATTAGAATGCCAAGATGAATTATGATTTAAATATATGGATAATGCTGTTGATGATGATTTCTTTTGTCATGTACTTCACCTCCCACGATTGTGGGAAGACTAATAGGAACGAAAACAAATTTTCACAACAAAATAAGGGCAAATAAAATTATTTAATGCACCACACAAAACAACACAACTCAAATGCATAAAAGATAAACACCT